TTTATTTTTTTAAATTAAAGATTATGGCGGCGGGCGAGGGAAGGACGTGTCGACAAGTCCTCCGCACTTTTTAATATTTTTAGTTCTTATTGACATCCACACATTATGGCAAAGAAACTAAAGAGACAGAAATGAACAGCGATGTTCTAGAGTGTAAAAGAAAGGCAAATGAAATTATATCATCGGAAAATCCAACGCTAAATGAGAACGGAAGGAGAAAAGGCTACATTTCAGTGATGAAGGAACTCTGGGATGACAAAGGTTACAAGCACCTTGGGCTAAMAAGCCAAAACATACGAGACCAGGCTTCAAGACTAGAAAGAATGAAAGAAGGCACTAGGGGGATAGATGTTGGCGAATTAGGGCAACCGAACTTGCAAAATATAATTATCAACAAAGAATATGAAAACATTGAAAATCAATACAACACAAGTCAAAATGCTAATTCGGAGGTGGCTAGTAGCTTAGATTTGCATACGATAGTGGCGCGATCCCCAAAGGGACCAAGTGATTCGGAGAACAATGACATTGCCCAAAATGTACAAGAACAACAAGAACCAGGAAGGGTATCGAGTATTGAGGTGACTAATGAGGGTCTAAGTAAAGCTCGCGCCGGCGTGCACGAACCAGGACAGTTACCCAACTATAATGATGTTGACATGCCATCTATTGTCAATTGAGGGCGCAGACCGGATGTGACAATAACAAYAATCAATGCGTCAACCATAATAAAAGCCTATGATGAAGTAACCCAATGGCGTAAAAACACCTTTCTCGTTCTTTATGGCAAAGTTGGGCGAGAATTTATTGACCAACTAACACAGCACATAACTGACTGGAACAATGCCTCGCAAATGCAACACCTAGCACTGAAAGCGGCTATTGTTTTGCTAGCAACGGCATCACAAAAGCTAAGTATGAAATCAAAAGCTAAAGATCATCAAGAGTGTCTTGCAAAACGGTTAGTGTTATGGAATGAAGGTAAAATCGAGAGCTTGCTGAGAGAAGGGTGGTCGATCCAAAAGTGTCTCAATAGGATCAAGAGAGCGGAGCCTCCAAACAAAGCAAAGATATTTGCTAAGCTGGTCATGGAAGGTCAGATAAATTCTGCTTTGAGATATCTAAGCGACGATGATGGCGGCGGGGTGCTACCGCTGACCGATGGTGCCATGAAGCAGCTCCATGAGAAACATCCTCACAACACAACAGACGCAACAGACACAACAGACACAAGACGCAAAGCTAGGGTCGCTTCTCTTCGGACCAGTTGAGGAGCAACACGGCTCATTATACCAGCAGATAGACGGTGACATGATACGCGAGGCGGCCCTCCAAACCAAAGGCTCCGGCGGTCCCTCGGGAGTTGATGCGAATGGCTTCAAGCGAATCCTCGCGTGTAAATCTTTTAAAAAATCGAGCGCTAACCTGTGCGCCGCTCTGGCAACAATGGCTGGAAGATTATGCACGGAGTATAGTGACCCCCGGACTATCGAGCCGATATTAGCCAACAGGCTCATACACCTAGACAATGGTGAGGG